CAGCCACAGAAAACACGTCTCGCGTGTGACGTCGAATGTGAGGCCGGCCACCCGCTTCACACGCGCCACAACCCAGCGTCCGCAGCATGCCGAGACGAGAGAACGACAAGATGACTACTTGCCCTCCCCCCCTGCCCCTACCTCGAGAAGTATACAAGCACGGTACATAACTGCCCATTTTACTCTCTATCCCATTCTCCATGTCACTGTAAAGGCCTGATGATGATGAGTGACCGAAAGTAACTGTTTGCCAATACGGCTTTTCAATCGTAAACGAAATGGGAATTTTTGCAGAATCTTGATTATCATTTGCTGAGATGTTATGTCCAATGTGTGTGTGTGGGCTTCGAGAGCACGTGTGGTCCTTGACCCCACAACAAAGACTTAGTTGTCCTGTTTTTCTGCATTACTTTACAAAACGCGACCATAAACTTCGTCATTAGTAGTTTGCTTGTCTAAGACTCCTTTCTAAGCCGTCACAGCTAGAAAAAGACTAATTTGACATGAAGTGCTCGCCCTAAGGCAGCCTACTTTGTCCTTCTTCACCTTTGCATTCTGCATCTCTTAGCACAAACACTCATGAAGACTAGTATTGATCGGTTTTACTTTTGTGCGCACCCTTTCCCTCTATACAGGGCGGAGCAGTATTCACAGTAACCCACGAAAGGGGAGTCATATTAGGCGTTAACATTTGCTCGCAGCACTCGGATGTCTGTGCCAGCAGCATCCACGCGCTGTTGGTCTACCATCTAACTTCATAGCTCATTCCATCTCGCATCTTCTTTCCTTCATAGATGGAATACGCCAGAGTGCTGGCATCCTTCGGGTCCCTGAAAGCTGCTCTTGACGTGTACCTGCGTTGGGAAATGTGGGACGATGCGATCACGGCCTATACCCTTCTGGGACAGGCTGACCTGGTTGGTGTTACCCTCATATTCCCCCCTTTTGTCTACAAGGCAGCAAGCGCCCTATTGGTTTGCACTGCTCATTGAATGTTTTTTTCTTTCCTAAAGGCGGAACAGTGTATCCGGGACCGCATTGCCCATGGCGACGAAACACCCGACCTCTACTGCAGCCTCGGTGATGTCACCAAGGATCCTGCGCACTATGAAAAGGCCTGGGAATTGTCCAATCACAAGTCAGCCCGAGCGATGAAAGCATTGGGCTTGCGTAGCCTCACTGTCGATAAGGTACCGTTTCCGCCTTGCTGACGTGTCTTGATTATGCTGCTTAAGTTACCAAGTCGCATCTAGGGCAACAAAGTTTATTTTCTCGCGTTTTTGGATCGATTCTCGGGACAGTCGTCAGGGATATTAAACAGTCAATGAGAAAATTAACCAATCCCCTCGGGCTCCCGTCATTATGACTAAATTTATAAGGCTGTGACAGTTGCCCACTCTATGGATGAGTTGCGACCTTTACCACATGGTACCTGCTACGTCCTTGTACGTTTCATGAAGTATTTATGGATCATTTACCTTTAAATAGTGGGTGTTTTCACTCGGGAGGCTTCCTCTTCCTATTAAAGACACTGATTTAACCCCTTGTTTTCCCCATTTTCCTGCAGGATCTTTCAAAGGCTGCTGAGTACCTCGAGAAGTCACTGCTCATCAACAGATTTCAGGTGAGAATTTGAGAGTTTGAGGGCGCTTAGCTTACTTTTGTACTTGT